TTAAAAACATTAGGGAACTTGCTATACTCTACCAATCAAGCCCAGTGACACTCCATTTATTTTCCATCACTCGAACACTGAAAAGTAAAAAGATATATGAAATCAGATCCATTAAATTCTAAGATTTGATTTACATTTCTAATTAAAGTTGTTTTTGATCATACGTATAGATAATTATATAAAAATTCCAAAATTCTAATATTTCAAATACATACAAAAACTATCATATGTAAATTTTAAATTTGTAAATATTAAAATTTTATATTTTAATTACATATATTCACCCTGCGCAAGGCGCAGGTCTTATCCTAGTTTAATACTACAAGATTATGGGGTATGTTTTCTTAAAAAAATTGATCAGCTGCTATAGTCAACTGAAAATTCGGTACGACGTACGAATATTTTTTTTATTAAAGATCGAAATTTATTTATTTTGGCATATGTTATTTATATTCAACACTCATGTAGTCATATTATATAGTGTTAGATTTAGATGTTTTCTATACCACAATATAATACTAAGAAATATTACGTAATAATAATTCAGCCTTTACCCTAATCTAATTTAAAAAATGGTATCCAAAACTAATAACATGGTTTTATTTGTACTTTTAGTTTTATAGATGTGGCGTTAACGCTTTAATAGATAGTAAAATCTCAGAAAGAGGATTACTTCCCCCCAAACCGAATTTGTTATATTTTTAGGAAAGAAGATTTCCCTTTTAAGTTGACTCTCTATCGTAACCGAAAATATATATAGAGAATAACGTACATTGTATTTCGGAATTATCCAAATATTAGGAAAGCACTTATATTGGGAAATAATAAATCGCTGGCTGGTTATAGATTTTGTAAATAACGATATTTAAAACTAAATTTAAATATAATAATAAGAAATAACAGTTTTTAGCAAAGAAATAACAGTTTTTTTATTCATGTACTACACATATAGCATTCAAACAAAAATGTAATAACAAAATAAAAGTACTCATACCACTGTTTAATAATAAAATGAAAGTAATCATACCACTTCAAACAGGACGACATTACAAAATTGATGGTACTAAAACCCAACCTTTACCCTTTTCTTCCCATGTGTATAACCCAAAAAAAAAGACTTATTCTTAGGTTCACCTCCTAGGGTGAACCTCTAGGTTCACTAACCAATAGAATGATATTATTTTATATTTGATATCTTTTAAAAAAGGAAACAAAATCTTGTCAAATTATATTATTTTTTAAAAATAAAAATAGAACAAAATAGATAAGAATAATAATATTTACAAAAAACGAAAAAATCTTTAAAAATATATTTTAACATTATATTATGTTTTAAATAAAAGATAAAAATAAAATAAAAACAGTAATAATTGCAAAAAAAATTTAAAACAAAAATCTTTTAATATATCTTTAAAATAAAAACATGTGATTTAAAATAAAAAAATAAAAATAAATAAATAAACAGTATAATTGGTTAGTATTAATTTACCTAAGGGTTAAGATTTTTCCAAAGGGTTTATGATTTACCCAAGGGTTTAGGGTCTAGGGTTTAGTATTAGGGTTTAGGGTTTAGGGTTTAGGATTAGGGTTTAGTGTTTTAGTATTAAATATATTTTTTTAGTTTTTTTTCCTTTTTCTAATATTATTATTTTTTTCTATTTTTATTTTAAAAAAGAATATATCTTAACAAGATTTTATTTCCTTTTAGAAAAGATATCAAATATGAAATAACACCATTCTATTGGTTAGTGAACCTACAGGTTCACCATAGGGAGTGAACCTAAGAATAACTCAAAATAAAATGGAAAGTACTATTTTCTTTAAAATTCCCACCGTTTTAGTAATCTATCAATAAAGAACCAACAACTTGTCGTAGTTACATGCAAATTCTTTTACTTTCTTTTCTCAAGCTTCAAATAAAACTAGGTGTTTTGCCCGCACATGCGGACTTAATTTTCTTACAAATATTTGTTATTTTTTGTTTTATTAATTCTAAAATAATATTATAAGTTATTTTTTATAGTTTTAAAAAACCTAAATCAAACATTAAAATATTTTTATATGAATATATATTTAGATTATGGATAATTCTTAACATTATTATTAATTTAAATCATTTATCTAATCAAATAAGTTTAATTATCTTTAAATCAATTTAAAAAATATCAAAATAAATGATTATTTGCATACAAAAAATTCGACCTAAAACAATAAACTTTTTTACATGATAAAGTTATTTACAAACTAATTTTTCAGTTGAAACTTTGAAAAATTTAAAGTCTATTTCATTTTTTCTTAATTGATAAAAATTTTGAAAAATTGAATCGATAAATTTACATTCAAAAATTGATCTTACAGAAAGAATAATATTAGTTTAGATAATAATACAATATATTTGAATTTATTTTTTCAAACATGTATTTTATTAAGGTTTAACTATATAAAATATAAATATAAATTTAATTTAAGTGTGAGTTCCGAGGCGAAAAATAACTTCACAGATATATATCATTATATTATATTATTATATTCTTTTAAGTTGAAAATAATTACGTTATAAATTTTCAGTTTTCTTTTATGAATTATATACAATTAAAAATTTTACTTTATGAATATTAATTTATGTGTTTTCAGTTTTTATTTTTTTAGTTAACATATATTTTCCGGATAACAACACAATATCTATATATGAATTGTCTTTTTATTTTTAAATATATATTTAGATTATGGATAATTCTTATCATTATTATTAATTTAAATCATTTATCTAATCAAATAAGTATTAAATTCGTTTTTATTTTGGGCTGATTTATATATTTTATTCATTAAGGATATAAACGATATTAACCACTCTAACTTTCAACGTGAGAGCTCCGTTACGAAAAATCACTTCGCAAATAATAGTATAGATATGTTTTTGAGAAAATAATAAAACTTGAGGATAATCACAAAAAGACGCATAGACAAAAAACACGATATTCTTATATACATATGAAGTAAATCTTTCATAGATAGAAACATAAAATATTGTTGTACATTTTTTGTCAACAAACATGATGTATATCTAAACTCTATTTGCAGCGAATCTCGGTAATTTAATTTGTCTGCACCGTTAAAAAAAAAAGTAAAAGATGAAAAGAGCAAACAATGCTCTTGGTTGTTTGGGTCTAAACAACACATATTTGGGCCTATAGACACATTTTGATGTAATAGTATGAATTGCTGATGAAAACCAGGAAACGATATTCACTGTAATCATCACACTAACAAATACTACCTGTATATTTTTTTACAGGAAAGAGATCGGGTCATGGAACAAGAAACAATACCACGGGAGCCTGAGACAATGTCGTCGATCCATAAATTAGCCAGACTAGACAATTATCTAGACGCCTTGAAAAACTCCCCTTCCTTCATCTTGATCCAAGACTCCTTCACAACCCTACAAGAGTTCCAGAGAGCATCCCCTGACTTCCAGACTCGTTGGAGTATTCTTGATAGTGTTCTTCGTGGTATCATGTATATATGGTGATATAGTTCTTACTTCTTAACGTAATAAAATTGTTAAGATCTTCTCGATACTGTGCTTCTTGATTGTGTCAAGTGTCGTATGTACTGATAATTAATTTACTCAAAAACACATCATGAAAAATTCGCATAGGTGGATATGAATAGGGGAGGGATTTTTTTTTGGGAAATTAGGCACAATATTCATAGTAATCCAACAAAAACAATATCTAACCATATTAAAGCCATGATTATGTTATGGTTGCTTTTTTTCT